ACTTGGAATTTATTTATTTATTTTATTTTATTATTATTATTTTTTTTCATTCTAGGGCTTGAACTCCTCCCTTTTTTTTTGAAGGTGGAGAGGTTATACCATTGGGCCAAAAGCTCTTCGGTAATTTGAAAGTTGATGACCTCTATTTTTCTCATTTCTCAGCTTTGTGGGCTTTTTCAGTGATTTTTTGGTTTCTCTCAAAAGGGTTTTGATATCTTGATTGTGGTTTATGATAATTAATGATTTCGTCATGGCAGCTTAAATCTCTGCAGTTGGGGACTTCTAATTGCTCTGTAGTTGGCCTGTATGAAACAAGCATAGTTTGGTAGTTTTTTTTAGGACAACTAAAAAATCCCTAATAAAATTGAAATATGCATTTTTTTTAATTTGAAAAAATAATCCATTCTACCTCAGTCCTCATGGCAGCTTAAATCCCAGCAGTGTGAGATTACCAAGGTGTTAATGTATCTATATTCCACCCAAATATTAGAAAAGTGATGAAAATTTCATTTCTACATTATTTTTTATATTTGTAACAAAGTTGAATGAGAGGGATCATATATGTCATTCTTATTCTTACTCTCATTCTATTCTCACTCGCACTCCTTCGACATTTTGCATACCAACATAAATAAAATGTCAACAATGTCCTCAGTTGGAACAAAAAAAAAAAGTAGAAAGTAATTTTATTATTATTTGTAGTAACTTATGTATCCGCATGTGATACGACACAAAATGTCCTTTAACAAATTGACACAAAATGTCCTTTAACAAATTTAGTAATATTAATATAATTTTATTAAATATATAATTAGCAAGAGGACATTTTCAATATTCGTATTAAATATACATTTAAGTACTATAATTAATAAGTGGACATTTTATATATTCATATTAAATGTGGTTACCTTGCGGGTGTGATGTATTGACAAGTTACACCAGCACAATTTCACATTCTTTGATTGTGGAAAGAGGAAGTTATATACATATGTAAGTGACATTATCTCTAAATGATATGAGCTAGGCCTTTCGGGATACAACCTTAAAAATAAAATCATTATCTCTGAATGATATGAGCTAGGCCTTTTGGGATACAACCTTAAAAATAAAATCGTGCTATTTTAGATTCAAATCGAACATATCATATCATGTTGTAAAGTGTGGCCAATGAAGACTTTGGACCCTTCGTTGTCCTTTTGATGTAAAATTCAATAGATGTAAAATTCAATAGTAAAATCAATTTACATTAAATGTACATTTCATTAAATGAACACACATATATAGTCTTAAAGCTTTAATTTTTTTGTTTAAAAAATGTCATGGTACATAATTATAAAATTTGAATAAATTATTATAAATTTGGATAATTAAGTTACTGAGTTTGCAATTAGAAACCTAAACTTCATCTATATTTGCAATTTAAATATTGCTAATTAATATTTCAAATTTGCAAATTATAAATGTTACAAAATTTGCAAAATTAACTTACAAACCTGCAAAGACCTCTCCTTACAATTTCTAATACTCATTTCCATTTACCTCTCTCTCTGCCCCCTTACCACAGAGCTTGAATTCAGAGTCGAAAGCCTAGAAATTTCGATTCAGCGGTCATGAACCACTAACACATATGCGACGCAATTGGCTCTAGAATACGAGTTTGTTCAAATTGAATAATTATTTAATTCAGTAATTCACTGAAATTTCTTTCTTAATTAATTCTTTACATGTTGCTTTATTTCGCGATCAAGAGCATTGACAAATCACAGAAGAGCAAGGTTCTTCGAGAAGTAAGTATTTGTCTGTCTCAAATTTTTTTTTTTAAAAAAAAATTTACTGCAGCAAATTTTGAGGTTTTAGTTATTGTTTTATCTTTTGTGAATACAAGTTCATTAACCGATTAAGGGACATTGTTATTCATATTGAAAAATTGCTGGGTGATTTTTAAAAATTATTGATTATGGTACGGGATTTAGAGCTTCTAGAACTTTAATCTGAAACTGCCATTGCCGGGATGAAGGTGGAGAGCTCGGCGATGGTAAGGGCCTCTCAAATGGAGCAGATGAAGGGGAAAGATGAGGTTAAATTTGGTATTTCACACAATTACTTTAAGACACATCTGAAAATGATCAAAGTCAATTTTCTAGCTAAATTCAAATTAAGTCCAAATTAGTTCCAAATTTTTTAGTTAATCATAAGCTCATATCACAAGATTCTTCTATCACGAATCAAATGTGTGTGACAAGTTAATGAAAAGTGATCGGATAAAACATATTTTACATATAAAAACACTTTAGAACTCCTCTAAAAATGATCAAAGTTATGAACTTTTTAAACTAAATTCGAATTAGGTCCAAATTAGTTTCAAATGTATTAAAAAATTAAAAAATATTTAATCAGAAAATTTCTAAACTTCTAATTAATGGCTCATAGTCATTCGGAGCTCTTACGCTTTCCTCATAAGACCAGTAACGGCTTTGTCCTGCTGCTTCATCACTACATTAATATATAAAATGTTTTAAAGCCCAAATCTAATAGCAAATTAATAATATAATATGTCATACATAATAATAATAATATAATTAATATATCATACATACATATATATATATATATATATATTTATTTATTTATTTATTTACACGTACTTAAACTGTACAAATCTTATAAATTTTCAAAGTCTGTAATCATCCCAAAAGTGAAACAGTAGCAAAACTTATAAATCTTAGAAATCTGTAATCATCTTTATGTTGAGAAACGTTTTAAAAATTTTTTTGAGCGATTTTTATACATAAATTTTGATTCATCACATAGATACAAATTTTATACAAAAATAAAATATGATGATCGAATCAATTTAGGAATTAAATACTTATATCAAATGGTTGAGTAAACCGTTAAATCTTTTCTCTAAAGTGAATGTTTTCACTTATTGTAAATCCCTTTGCTAGATACTTTTTCCTTAGATATCCATCTTTTTTGTAATGATTTTGCTTTTAGGAATCACTCATAAGCCTCCATAAATGATCTTGGAAAACTAGGCTTGTGGGAGCCTCCATTAGATGAGAATACTACCCCTAAAAATCTAGAGAGATAAAATATTTTCTTGTCCTCTCAAAGTCTCACCTAAAATATACATGAACCTATATATATAGGCAAAATAAAGATAAGAAAATTAAACAATAAATCCTTCTCAATCTCTAATTCACATATCTCAAATCTAATAGGATTCCAATAACAAGTTGGATTATGAGTAAGAATCCTTTGGGCTTATTATTTTATTGGTCACAATGAATTAATAATTGACCCGATCCATGGACCCAATTAAATTAATTCATTAATTAATTTTTACTCTACTAAAAGAAATTAATTGAACACCAATTAAATAATAAATAACTTCTAAGTCAATGTTGCACTTTGACTTTTCTATGCATAATTAGTTATAGGATAAATAAAGTCATCAATCCGACTACTTAATTAATATATTTATTTTGGTACCTTTGATTATTTCGGCTCGATTACAATAAAACATTTGTTTGACAAAAATAATAATTTAAATAAATAAATATATAATAAATTATTTTGTCTAAAAATACACGAAGGCCTTCAAATTTACTTTGTGATCAACCACAATCAATACAAAATAAATATAAGTCCAATGATGCAAATATTGAAAATATAACACTTTAACTAGTAATTACATAATTACCCAAAGTGCTAGTCTATGGATTTTAAAAATTCCGTCGAACAAATCAAAGTAATTACTAATTAATAAAAGAGTCTATACTTCTCTCATGCTTAAGAGTCAAATATTATGACAGTGATAGGGAGCAATTACATACGACGGCTTTTACAATATATCTCAACCTAATACGGATCCAGTTTAAGTGTTAATTAATAATGAGTCCATCCATAATTACCGACTATAAACTATTTATATTCATTTATTGATCGATATTACACATATATAAAAATATCTCTTGTAATCAAGTGGACATTATCAATTCCATAATGAATCGAAACATAATACATTGAATTCACCAATTATATAAATCATAAATATTTCAGATATATCATGAACATATGTTATTATAATCCAAATAGGAATTTGTTATGCCAGGACATATAAATCCCAACACTTTATTAATTCTTGTTCACGATGGTCTTAGTAAGAAGATAAAAGAGATCAAATACTATGTGAGTTTCACTCTCTCTCCTATTCTCCTCTTTATTTTTCTTAATTAACAAAATACCAAAGACATAAATGTTAACATAAGAGTATGTATATCAATATATAAGAGTATTGAAAAATATAAAATAAAAAAATCAAGATTTTAATTTTTAAATATGTTGATTGGTTTGCAATCAATAACGTCTCTGATAAATGTGTTCATCCTAATTATGCAGCTTGAATCAGTTTAGATTCGTATATTTGATTAATCAGTTTGTTGTGATTTCAAAGCCTTAACTAGTTTATATTAGACTATTTTCTTTAATTAATGGATTCATTTTAATTGATGAAATCATTATTTTTGAGTTTATTTAATTTATGGTTTGCATTATTTCAAGCTATAATTAGTTTAGATTCACATGGTTCTCTAACTTATTTTTTCATTGTGGTTTCTAAAAATAAAATAAAATAAAATAAAAAATTGGTCTTTTTGAATTAATTTTGTACATATTTATGTCGTATTTGACTTAGATATGTGCAAAAAAATAAAAAAATGAGTAATCTATTTATCATTGTGCTTTCTTAAAAAAAAAAAAAAAAATGATTGGTCCTTTTTGAATTACTTTTGTACATATCAATGTCATGTTTGAATAGATAGAGGGAAATTTTTTAAAACTAAATTCAAATTAGGTGCAAAGTAATTTCAAGTTTTGCAATTAATCATAAACTAGTTAAAAAAGATAAAAATCCAATTAAATGTTCCGGCAACAATGACATTTGGACCTTACAATATCAATCTTCAAAGACATCAATCAATTTAACACAAGCAAGTTCAATAACAATGTCTAAAAAATTCTCTCCAACACTGCATTCTGATTGGAGGAACAACCACCCTCTCATATGTGGAAAGAGTGGGCTCCTCATAAGACCAGTAATGGCTTGGTCTTGATGCTGCACCGTTGCATTTTCTTTTACCCTTCACCCCCGCATGGCTGAGTCCTGCCTCGTCATCGTCATCGTGTTTTCTCTTACCCTTATGCCCTTTGCATAGGTGTCCTTGGTCTTGGACAACCATGACACCATCATTACCAGATGAAGAATTGAACTCATTCACCACTTCTTCTTCAGTGTCCATTTTGGTACGCTTCTTAGCTCCAATATACACCGGGATGACCCCACACTTGTTCACAATCAACCCACAACAAGCATCTATTTCAATTTTCACTTCATCTCCACAATCCACCTCAAATTTTTCAAGGGGTACATAGCTCAACACTAGGTGGTCATGTGGGGTTGGGAATCCACAATAAATCCGATAACGGATACAGGGAGCACAAAAATCCTGGGTTACATTAGTAACACTAACAATATATTTTGTTGGTCTCTCGACAATTTTGAAATCATGTGCTACATGTATAACACTTAAAACCAAGCCTTTCATCATACTCATATTTTGAGGCACTTGAAGTGACAATACATTACCCGACCTCTGATTACTGAACCAATCAGGAATTTCACAGCAGGAGAATATAATGTCATCGGGTCTAGTACCTCCATATCTTCCATACCATTTCTGCACAATTAGAATGATCGATAATGTGTAAGGTAGAGACATGCATGCACAGAAACACACACAAACACATGTATAAACATTGAGGGGTAGAGAGAGACCTGTAGTACATTCTCTGTGCAAGGGAACTCAACTAGTTTGCTGGAATTCAATAGACACGTCAATGGGGGGCGTGAGAAGTTTGATAGATCCGGAAATCTTTCCATTGATGAATGTGAAGCATGTAGAATGATCAAACTTGATGGAAGCTCTGGAAGTGATCCAAGGTTTCTACAATGGTACAAAACGAGGACTTGAAGGTTATAAAGTCTCTTGATAGCTGGTATACTGTACAAATCTTTGTCAACGAATTCCAAATATCTTAACGAGGATAGACTCCCGATGTCGTTCAGAACCGTTGAAAAATTATGGAGCCTCAATCTCGTTAGAGAGGTTAACCCCAACAACGAATTCGGTAATGACATGGACATGGACATGGATGGTGATCCTTTACTACCAGATAGAGACAAAAATCGAAGGTTCTTTACACGCACTATGGAAACTGGTACTTGTCTTATAGCAGTTCGGGAAGCACAAAGCAGACTTAACGATTTGATTTCCCCAATCTCCTCAGGCAATTTGTCTAATTTCAGGCACCCAGAGAGCTGAAGAATTTTAAGAGATTTCAACATACAGATGCTCCTTGGGAGATTCCTAAGGTTTGCATAATGTTTCAGGCTTAGGGACCAGAGTTTATCTAGACTTCCAATGGATTCGTCAATCATTTTCAAACTCCTACAATCTTCAAGTCTCATTTTCTCAAGGTTTGGGAGTGTTGAGAAGTCGGTAGTGATTCTGGTCAAAAAATGGGAATGACTTAGATCAAGCATTTTCAACTTTCCAAAAACCTGTGGAAAGAAGATTTAGAGCACATAATTAGTTCAAAGTGAAATATACAATTCAAACAAAAAAAGGAAAAAATAAGTAATCAGTAGTTTATTCAAAGTGCTAATTATACCTTCTTGTCCTTCCGAACTTGTTCTAGGTTGCTATGTTGCATGTCAAAACCAATTAATTTCTCTTGATACAAGTTACTTGGTATAGAATTTAGAGGGAATCCATGCCAGCATAGCCATCTCAAACTTTTAGGAAGATGTTCATAGCCTCTAGTGATGTCGACATTCTTCAGTTGTAGCAATCTTAGTTTGTGCATCCTCGCAAATGCTTCACCATTCAAAACAACTTTATTTGGTTCATCCATATTGATGAGCGCTGAAAAGTGCGCATTTAAACCCCTTAAATTAAGGTATTCTAAGACCTTTATCAATCTTATTTCTCCGTTTTATTATAATTTCGTGTTATTACCCTTTTCAGGTGCTTATCCCAAAAATAAGTCAATTCGGTTAAATAAGAACATTAAAGGAGTTAACTAAAGCTGAATGGAAGAAAGGAGCAAAGTGGGAGCAAATTGAAGCAAAATGTGAAAATTCAGCAAGTTCGATCGATCTCAGCATTTCTTCGATCGATCGAAAGTTCATCGATCTAAACAATTCAAGATGGATCCAAGCCCTTGTCCTTATCCAAAAGAATCCAACAAGTTCGATCGATCCAACATATCCCAGATTGATCGAAATGATTCGATCTTATCCACACCTACCACCCACCTACCACTTTTGTCTTCTTCCCAAAAATATCTCAGAGATTTGTCTTTATTCAAAAAGACGCCGCCAAGGAAGATCGATCTCTGCAGCATTCGATGGATCTCAGCCATGTTAGATCGATCTCAACACAGTTCGATCGATCGAACTTCCTCAAGTCCCTTAAAAAATATATTCCAGCTTATTAAAAGTTGGCTCATGGTGCAATCATTGGAGGGACCTTGGTGTACGAGCCCAGACCATTGGGGTAACATTTGACCTACCTATATAAGGATTGAGAGCCACTTTTAGAGCATACACATAGTGGATAGTTGTTATTCATAAATTGTATTTTTTCATATCTTGGAGAGGAGGTTAGAGATTAGAGAGCTTTACACATCTTGGGAGTTCTTCCATTCTTCTAGGGTTTCCATCAAGAAGGAGGTCATTCCTACCATGGAGATAGCCTTTGAGGGTTAGATGACTACTTCAATGAGTGGCTAGACATCTACTTGGGGCTAGAGTAGCCCCTAAGTTTGCTTCCTAGATTTAGTTCTTTGTATATTTTTGAAGATTTATTTGTAACAATGTTTTGACCTTGGATTTATATATATATCTTGTGGTTTCTACTTGATGTGTATGGATTAATGCTTTCAATTGATTATCTACTTCTAACCATATGTCTATGTATACTAGAATGGATGATTCATATTCTTTTATTTAGATTTAGTGGAATTTATGCATGTCTATGTGTATGAATGAAGTTAATATAGAGATGCTCAAAATATAGAGCTTAATTGAATACTCTTACAATTTATTTGATGGTTTACACTTGTTTCTTGATAGATTGTACCACAACTTTAGCTTACTTAGTTAAATTCCATGTCTTTAGTGTAAATGTAGTGTAGTTGTTTTAAATTCATAGATATGTGGACAATCTACTCTTGTTCCTTGGTGTTCCATACTTATGAATGCGTTTGGTGTATGTTTCCAAATAGTTGTGTATGCACAAATTGTGATTTCATTGAATGGATTTTCGTCTCATTTGATAGGTTGTGCTTTCCATTTGATTTGGCTTGATAACCTATGCTTATTTGCCATCCATGCCTAGTTTCAATTAATGTCACACACACATACACACACACAAGTTACAAATCAATTTCCCCATTAATATACAATTACTAGTGTCTAGTGAAGTCAAGCTTAGTGGTGAGCTCTAGTACCCCAAGTCCTTCCCTTTATATCTTTCTCTACTTTATTAGTCATTGAATTTTGTTTACTTTAATTTCAATTGCATAATAGTTTAATCAATCAATCCAACCAATCTTTGATCACTCGACCTACTAACCCTATATATTATTTCCATTGCATCGGTACCTACGATCCCTTGGGACGATCCCTACTCACCCTAGCTATATTTTTAGTTAGAGGTAGTGGTGGCTTTTAAAAATTTAAAACTTGGCCACATTGCACACTCATACTCTTAGTTCATATCTTTGCAAACTTTTTGTACAACCGACTTCCACCTTGCCAAGTTTTTGGCGCCGTTGCTGGGGATCTAATTGGCAACGTCGTGTTTTGGAAACAAATAGGAATTAGTACTCTTTTGATCGTGTCCTTTCTTTATTTTCTTCATAGTTACTTATTGTGTTTGTTCTTGATTGATTAGGTGCATTGAGTGAAGGAAACCAAGCAAAGGAGAATTAAAGAGCAAGGAAGCCAAGTGGAGCTAAACAAGGCAAAAAGACTGAAAATCTAAAAAATTGCAAAGAAAGGCTAGAAAGTTGAAAAATACATTGAAGTTGCTTAAGGACCCTTTGTGAAATCTTTCTAACTTAAGCGCTAGTTAAATCGTCGGCCCGCGTGGAGGCTTGTTTTTCATTTCTTAGATAAATCGTGAGCCCGCGTGGAGGCAATTTACTTTTCTTTGCATGTTGTTCAAGCATGGGAGTATGGGATCATTATATGTGAAGATTTGTTGATTTGTTATGGGGGCGAAGTGTTTGTTACTTGTTTATTTCTTGTTATTGTCTTTGCTAGTGCATGCATGGTCGTAAGTCATTAAATCCTACTCTTGTCCCTCTTAATTTTCATCTTGAATTGGTTGTTCGTAATCTTAGGGGAAGAGGTAGTTCTCATCACTCCATTTCATCAATGGAGGAGCAAAATAATGACTATGTGAAGGACCTTGGTTACATAAACTAACAAGGCATCTTCTACCCTAATGTGCATTATGACAATATCCAAGTACCCTTAGGCATGCCTAGACCATTCATTCCACCACAACAACAAGGCCAAATTCCATTGGGAATGCCTCAACCAATCTTTGCTCCACAACCTCCTATGGTTCAAGCTAATCCACGTGTACGTGTAGCACCACCAATTGTGAATCCTCCCATTGCTTTAGGAGACCATTATGTGCCTAATGAATATAATGCACCCACTTGCATTCAATTGCCCCCATTTAGAGCACATCACTATGAAATCAAACCACAAACCATTCAAATGCTTCCTAACTATCATGGACTTATAAGTGAAGAACCTTATAAGCATTTAGATGAGTTTCTTGAAGTGTGTTCCACCGTGAAATACACGGACATGCCGGAAGAAGTGTTAAGACTTAAACATTTTCCTTTCACCCTCAAAGACAAGGCAAAATATTGGTTCAACAATCTTAGGCCTTTTTCAATAACCTCTCGGCCGGAAATGCAACAAGAGTTCTTGAAAAAGTACTACCCAGTTTCGAAGACCAATGTCATGAGAATTTCCATTCGCGAATTTTCTCAAGGGGATGGGGAAATGATTTATGAGGCATGGAAAAGATTCAATGACTTGCTTAGGAAGTGCCCACATCATGACATACCTAAGTGGCAATTAGTTCAATATTTCTTTGAAAGTTTACCGGATAATCACAAGGGTATGGTTGATGCATCTATGGGTGGTTCTTATCTTGATAAGCATGAAAATGATGTGTGGCAATTGTATGAAAGTATGAGTGAAAATTCCATGCATAGATCTCTATCTTCTAAAAATGGTAGAAATCTAGGTGGAAGGAAAAATGTTGGTTTGTATCAAGTTGACAACTCCAATGATATAGCCGCCGAGTTGAAATCCTTATCTCAAAGGTTTGATCAATTTTTGATCAACGAAACTTCGATGAATCAAATGTCTTCCTCCCTAATTATGTTCATCATTGTGCATTTAATGAATCATGTATGACTTGTTCTAGTGTGTTACATTCTACTTCCAATTGTCCCCATGGACAAACGACAATCATGAGCAAACAAATGCCATTTTTCCTAACCAAGGGCATAATCCTTATGGCAATCATTATAATCCAAGTTGGAGGAACCATCCGAACTTTTCTTGGAAAAGCCAAGGGGAAGGCTCAAACCCTCCTTTCGGTGGTTTTCAAGGAAAGTATGTTCCGCCTCCAATGCAAAGCTAAGGTTCCCAAGGTTTTAGATCATCATCATTTCAATCACATGAAAACCAATTCTCTAATTCTCATTTCCCAAATCAATCTTATTCTCAAGGAAACTCTAGAAGTCCTGCTTTTGAAGAGAAAGTTTTGACCGCTTTAGGCACTCTATAGGCGAACACTCAATTGCTTCATTCTCATTCTCAATCCATTGCTAAGCTAGAAACCCAAGTAGGGCAAATAGCTAGTACTTTAAATGCTAGAGAGAAAGGGAAAATGCCTTTGAATGCCCCACCAAAGCAACAATGTGTTCTGGAGACTCATTCCTCATCGGAAGGTCCCACAATTGAGCATGTCAATGCGGTGACAACCTTGAGAAGTGGGAAGATTGTGGACAACAAGGTAAGTATATCCAATGAAGAGAGTGAACCGGTGCAACCAAAAGTTAACATCCGTCCCGTTTCACATTTTATTCCTCCTTCATTACATATGCATAATCATCATATTGAGAATGCATTGAAAAATGATTTAAAAGATGAATTACAGCATTATTTGAAAAAGGACTTGAAAAATTCTTGTATTTATGATGTTTCAAAGAAAAATTTTGAAAAAGTTTTTGAGCTAAGAGCTCCATTTCCAGATGTCTTAAAAGGATCCATTTATCTTGATAAATAAAAGACCAAGACCAATGAAATCATTGAAATGTTTAGGCAAGTGAAGATCAATCTTCCACTTTTGGATGCAATTAAGCAAATTCCGGCTTATGCCAAGTTCTTAAAAGATCTTTGCACCCAAAAGAGGAAGAACAAAAGCCAAACACTAAGAAAAGTAGTCATGACTGAGCAAGTGAGCTCTATTTTGCAATATAACACTCTCCCAAAGTTTAAAGACCCCGGTTCACCTACTACCTCTTGCATCATTGGTGACCATATCATCAATCGGGCTCTCTTAGACTTAGGAGCAAGTGTTAACCTTCTTCCATACTCAGTATATGTCAAATTAAGCTTAGGAGACTTGAAACCGATGTCGGTAGTTTTACAACTTACCGACCGATCAATCAAAAAGCCTAGGGGTATCATTGAGGATGTTTTGATTAAAATTGATAAGTTCTTCTTCCCGGTCGATTTCGTTGTCATAGATACGCAACTGGTTCCAAATCCCAAGAGCTAAATTCCTGTTATCCTTGGTCGTCCTTTCTTGGCAACTTCAAATGCCAACATCAATTGTAGGACAGGGGTAGTGAAAATCTCATTTGGGCATATGAAAGTGAAGTTGAACATTTTTAATCCAACCCCGAATTCGATGGACCAACATGAAGAAATATGTGTTGTAGAGGAGTGTGTCAACCATGAATTTGATGAAGTTAAGTCTTTACTTGATGTTAAACATTTCCATGGTTTGTCTACCAACTTAAAAACAAGGAAAGTTGCATTAAAGTCAAGTATTTCAAGGGCATGGAAGCCCAAGAGTTGTTTTGACCAAGGACCATCAAGGTCGTTTGAATCGAATCCAATGAGTTCCTTAGGGAGCAATTTGTTGGGTGGGATTCAAAAATCCATTCACCCCGTCAAGGAGGTGTTGCATAACAAGATATTTGATTTGGGCTAAAAGAGCCCAACGTCTTGCTAGAGATGTTAATGACTAGTAAATGCTTCGTAGGGTTTACAACCCTATTCCTCCCTCATTTCTATTTTGCATTTCATTTCTCGCGTCGTCTAGATATGTTTTGGGGTTTATACACATTGATAGGAACTATGATTGAGTATGCATGCACTTTTATTCTGAAAATAGACATTTTGTTCTTGTTTGATCGATCTCAAAAGAAGTTCGATCGATTGAAAATCCCTTCTTGCATCTAATCATCCCTCTGTTCCATCGATCAAAATTTTCTTTCATAAATCAACTCTTTATGTATCGATCGAAAATTTCTTTAGATCGATCTGAAAGTTCCTAGATCGATCCAACTTTTTCTTAGATTGATCTTCACTCCACACTTAGAAAATTTTTGAGATCCATGAAAAAGGCCTCTCTGTGCATCGTTCGAACTTTCTGTTCGATCGATCGAAGTATCTTTTAGATCGATCTTACATTGATCGATCTATACCCCCCCTTTTGTTGACTTTGATTTGACTTTTGAACTTTAATTTAATAAAAATCCAAAAAAAATATATATATATTTTGAATGTTTAGTTTATTTTATTCTCAAAAACTTCATAAATATTTTTAATTTTAGGAAATTTTTCAAAAATCTAAAAATATTTTTATTTTTATTTTTATCTTTCTAAAATAAATAAATAAATAAAAAATTTCAAAAATACTTAATCATTTTGAAGCATAGATTGATCTGTGTTCTTTCAAGATCGATTTATGTTCGATCGATTTGAGATTTTTCCAGATCGATCGAACTTGTCGGGACCAGTTTTTAAAATAAAACCCTACGGTCATTTTAATCAATTTGTAAATCGATCTCAGACCCTTATCCGTCGCCGCTGTAACACCCATTGCTCTCAGCTCCAACGAACTCTCCGGTAAGCTTCCCGAGCCTCGAATCTGTCTCCCTCGTCTCAGATCTCGTCTATCTCTCTCCCGATCCACTTCTCTCCTCGGATTAGGTAAGTTTGCGTTTCCATTTCCATTTCCATTTTTGGGCTTCAACTTACATGCTTGTGATGTTTCCATACTAGATCTGAGCTTCCCATATTTGATTCTTGCCATTTTTGACTTAATGAAGCATGTATATATATGTGTATATATATGTATATAGATGTGTGTATATATTTGATTCCGAATGTGATTTTGAGTTGACAAGTGACCCATACTGTGTTATTATTGTGTGAGAGGGCCCCACAAGCTTGCTGGGGTGCCCCCGTGCCATTCACGTCACAGATCTGTGACTGTTTACATTCTTAGCAGAGTTCGATCGATCTCTGTTTTTCTCAGATCAATCTAAAGGAGATCGATCTCACTTAAATCTAAATCGATCCAACTTAGATCGATCTCATCTTTTCCAGATCGATCGAACATCACAGATTTGCCTATACACTTCACACACCATTTTTTGTGTTCCATGCTACATTATTTATACCCAATGCTTGTGTTTTCCACATTGGATGCATTCTATACTTGTACTGTTTAGCATGTTACAGTTGGTCACTATTTATTTGGCTGCGTCATCACTTGCATAGATTCATGATTATTATTTTATATTGTCTATCTTATTTGACATACATGTTTCTATATACTATGCTTTAACTCTTTATACCGGTACTAACTTATTTTGCAAGTGTTTTTCTTTCTATTTTGCAGGCCATGGCTAGGGTAAAGACTGTTGCCCGTAGGCATTATCCATGAAGAGTGAGGCAGCGAGTAGAGGAGCAGGCAAGCCCATCTCATGTTTAGGTTCCCATTCCAGAGCCAGCTTCAGAGCAGGTTGATGAGGCTGAGCAGGCTGAGTAGCCTGAGCAGTTAGAGCAATTAGAGGCAGATCTAGTTCAGTCCCCATCAGCCGACTCGTGACTACAGTCTTCAGCTTCAGCATCATCTTCTTCAGCTAAGGCTGCGCATATACCTTCTCCCTCACAGCCAAGCTAGGACCGCGACAGACCTACCAGGAGATACTCACGCCTTAAGGTGGCACATGAGTCAGCATTCGACATTGTCTTCTTCTCCCGGTATCTCCTGACCTGGTCTGCCTATGATGATATTGACCGGAGGGGCATTTAAGCTATTTTGGCCCCAGTCACCTATCCAGTTTACCTGCGGCTTGTTTGGTTGTTCTACCAGAACCTCCGGCCGGCCTCGAGTAACTTGTTAGAGCTACACACTACTATTAATGGCCACCCCATCTGGATCATGATTAATATTCTTGCCAGAGCTTCTCGATGCCCGCATGTCTGCCCTCCTGATGTTCATTATCCTCTCTTGGAGTGGAGGCCTTCTTACGCAGACATAGACGTGGCACTGACTAGCCACTATGCAGATGGCGAGACTTTCGCCACCCTGACTTATCTGCCCGATGACTTTTGGTTCTACGATTCGGTACTCTTCCGAAACGTATTTATGGCAGGCCATAAGATCCAGAGGCGTTCAGACTTTCTCGTTGCTTTATATGCATTCTATATAGGCCACTGGGTATCCATGCCGGCACTTTACTGGAGTGTCATGATGAGGCTGTATTCGACCTATATCAGCAAGGCCAAGCCCAGACGGGTCACTTTCTTACCATTTGGCCATCTTATCACTCAGATCCTACAAGATCAGTGCTATCCCTTCTAACTAGATAAGTACCCAGAGACAGGAGCTTGCCATTATGGTAAGAAGGAGTGGAATAAGAGCTGTAATGCTCTTATCAAGAGTCTGGTGGAGGATATTGTTTTAGCAGCATCCAGAAGTTGCACCAATGGCTGCAGTATATATGGCCATTGACTTGAAGTAGGAGCCTCCGGCAGAGGAGCTACCACATCACTTTCCAGCGGGGTCACCATTACATTTCCCAAAGAAGGCTCAGGATATACATCATTTTCCTAACCCAGTCATACCTGAGGCTCCAGCACCGACACCCGGCTTTGGAGAGCGTATCCAGGCCTTGGAGGACGCAGTTGTCTCTCTTCGGTCAAATGTGGCATCTCTCGGCTCCGATGTCTTAGCTGTACTTCAGGGCATATCTAGAGATATCAGGGGATCATGCATCACTCACCCTACCTCATCTGCCTGATCTCTATTCATCTCTTTTATCATGTTATATATTTATGATACATTCCTGCTATTTTGATACTGTTATATTATTTTTGCGGCCAGTCTGTCGGCCCTATTACTGTGATGTACTATATACTACTTTTATTTTCCTATTTTATGCATGATCTTTTAGATTTCATATTCTACTATTGATATATCTGTCAGTGACTAACTCCATTATCCGGTGCATCCCAGTGACTTCAGTGAGAGAGTGCTGCCCGAATTTTTCAGGACCACCCTTTTTCTCTCTTATTAGTTCATTTGTTATCCCATTTACACTTGCATGTCCACTGTGCACCATTATTATCCCCTTTATTATCTGATTAGCTTTTCTCCCAGTGCTATCTTTTCAGGACCACAGTTCATCCCAAGTTTAGGGGGGTTATATCACCCACTTTGGATACTTCTGTCCTTGCCATTCTTCGCCATAACCACACTGGTATACTCTCTCCTTTGTTCTCTTTGCACATTGAGGACACTGTGCCATTTAAGTTTGTGGGTAATGGGTATTGTTATAATATGTGCTTTTAATTCAAAATTTTGAGCATGACTTGTGTATTTGAGGGATTTTCTATGATTGGTCCATGACTAGCTATGATTTTGATTTTTTGAGGACTATATTATTTAAAATTTAAAAATTGCTTGACTTGAGAGTCCAATACTCCTTGTTTGCCTTGTGGATGCTATTTAGAAGTAAATTTTTTGAAAGATTGATATCTTGCTTGCACTTATGGTCCACATCATCCTGATTTTGTGATTGTTTTGAGATTCACTCTAAGATTCTACACTAGCACAAGTGCACACTAGCATTCATTTGTGGGGTACATGCTTTGTTAATTATTAAATTGGTTATATCCCAATTGGGCTAGTAGTGTATTGAAAGCTTTCATCTTGATAAAAGTGGATAACAAACCTTTTTCATTGAGTAGCCGGGATTCTAGCCTCATCAAGCACTGAATTTCTTGTGCCGAAAAGTGGAGGGGCCAAACTCTAGGTTAATAATTGAACTTCGAAAAAAAAACATAAAAAAAAAATAGAAAGAAAAGAAAAGAAAAGAAAAAGTTGCAAAAGCAATAAAAAAGTGAGGACTTTTCCCAAAAGGTGAGAAGTGGGAAATGATTAGATGGAGGTTGTTTTGATTTGTAGCTTAGTTGATTTGAGCTTGTAAGTCCTTAGGGGTGTTTCAACATCTAGTGCCCTAAAGCCGTCTGGTTTGGGAGTCATTGACCTAACGCTTGACCTCATGGATCGCTAGAAAGCTTGATAGATCACTACATTGCACCATGCTTCCATCTTTGATCCTTAAGGATTAAAAAAAAAAAAAGGAAAAAAAGGAAGAAGAATTCGAATGAAAAGAATAACCACACCTAGATCAATAAAGCTTTAATAAAAGGTCCACTCTTTATCTTGATGATCGGGACTAGATTTGTGTGCTAATTTGAGGGTAAGGATGTGATCATTTCTTTAGTTGGCTAAGATAGCAACATATTTGATGCTGTTCCACTCAAAAAGGATTCTAGAGTTGTTTTGATTTGCATGATCATTTTCTTAATGTGTGGAGGACCATACTTGTTTACTTGGTATTGAAATTTTGGGAGATTGCTTAGAAATGGTTGAAAAATTACATACTTGAGGTAGTTTTCTCCCAATGCTTATTTGCAATATTGGTGCCTCTTTTGAAAGAATGAGCTTAATGTTTGTGGGTATCATTTTTGGAAACCCTCACGAGACTTCACTCATTCACTAGGGGTAACCTAGGGGTTTAAAAAGCTTGTTGCATATGCTAAATGCAATCGTGTTCCCTACGAAAGTGGCGTTATCCATTTATTGCTTTCTAGTTCATGGTTGTATAGTTGTTCATTTCATTCCTTTACTTTATACTTCATTGCTAGGGACTAGCAATATTTAAGTTTGGGGGTGTGATGAATTCTGAAAAGTGCGCATTTAAACCCCTTAAGCTAAGGTATTCTAGGACCTTTATCTATCTTGTTTCCCCATTTTATTTTAATTTCGTGTTATCGCCCTTTTCAGGTGCTTATCCCAAAAATAAGTCAATTCGGCCAAATAAAAGCATTAAAGGAGTTAACTCAAGTTGAATGGAAGAAAGGAGCAAAGTGGGAGCAAATTGAAGCAAAGTGTAAAAATTCATCATGTTCGACCGATCTCAGCATTTCTTCGATTGATCGAAAGTTCATCGATCTAAACAATTCAAGATGGATCCAAGCCCTTGTCCTTATCCAAAAGAATCCAACAATTTTGATGGATCCAATATTTCCCAAATTGATCGAAATGATTTGATCTTATCCACACCTACCACCCACCTACCATTTTTATCTTCTTCCCAAAAATATCTCAGAGATTTGTCTTTCTTCAAAAAGGCGCTGCTAAGGAAGATCGATCTCTGCAGCATTCGATGGATCTCAGCCATGTTCGATCGATCTCAACATCGTTTGATCGATCGAACTTCCTCAAGTCAGAAAAAAATAGATTCCAGCTCATTAAAAGTTGGCTCATGGTGTAATCATTAGAGGGACCTTGGTGTACGAGCCCAGACCATTGGGGTGACATTTGACCTACCTATATAAGGATTGAGAGCCACTTTAGAGCATACACATAGTAGATAGTTGTTATTCATAAATTGTATTTTTTCACATCTTGGAGAGGAGGCTAGAGATTAGAGAGCTTTACACATCTTGGGAGTTCTTCCATTCTTTTAGGGTTTCCATCAAGAAAGAGGTCATTCCTACCATGGAGATAGCCCTTGAGGGTTGGATGACTACTTCAATGAGTGGCTAGACATTTTACTTGGGGCTAGAGTAGCCTCTAAGTTTGCTTCCTAGACTTAGTTCTTTGTATATTTTTGGAGATTTATTTGTAACAATGTTTTGACCTTGGATTTATATATATATCTTGTGGTTTCTACTTGATGTGTATGGATTAATGCTTTCAATTGATTATCTACTTCTAACCATATGTCTATGTATGCTAGAATGGATGATTCTTGTGCTTTTCTTTAGATTTAGTGGAATTTATGCATGTCTATATGTGTGGATGAAGTTAATCTAGAGATGCTCAAAACATAGAGCTTAATTGAACACTCTTACAATTTATTTGATGGTTCACACTTGTTTTTTGATAGATTGTACCACAACTTTGGCTTACTTAGTTAAATTTCATGTCTTTAGTGTAGACGTAGTGTAGTTGTTTTAAATTCATAGATAGGTAGACAATCTACGCTTGGTCCTTGGTGTTCCATACTTATGAATGCATTTGGTGTATGTTTCTAGATAGTTGTGTGTGCATAAATTGTGATTTTATTGAATGGATTTTCGTCTCATTTGATAGGTTGTGCTTTCCATTTGATTTGGCTTGATAACCTATGCTTATTTGCCATCTATGCCTGGTTTCAATTAATGTCACACACACACACACAAGTTACAAGTCAATTTCCCCATTAATATACAATTGCTAGCGTCTAGTGAAGTTAAGCTTAGTGGTGAGCTCTAGTATCCCAAATCCTTCCCTCTATATGTTTCTCTACTTTATTAATCATTAAATTTTGTTTACTTTAATTTCAATTTCATAATAGTTTAATCAATCAATCCAACCAATCTTTGATCACTCAACCTACTAACCCTATATATTGTTTGCATTACATCGGTACCCACGATCCCTTGGGATGATCCCTACTCACCTTAGCTATATTTTTAGTTAGAGATAGTGGTGGCTTTTACAAATTTAAAACTTAGCCACATTGCACACTCACACTCTTAGTTCATATCTTTACAAACTTTTGGTGCAACCGACTTCCACCCTGCCACATATTTAAGGCGAGGCCTTCAATTTGGCCTGTTCCCTAATAAAACATGTGAAGCTTAAGCATTTATGTTTATGCAAGTGAAAGGAAATTGAAAGAAGCATAAGCATTAATGTTTATATAATTAGAATTGCATTGGTTTCTTCACTTCAACAAGAATTCCTGAAAACAAATCCGTTCAGTTGAACTTTTACAGTGCAATTTGTTAGAACATTAAGAGCATTTTCGTAATGCCACAATCTGCTATGTTGTCCAGGATTGTGAATAGATTCTTAACAAACAATTTTCCTTCCCATGTCTCTCAGCAGATCATGCATCAAAAGCTTGCCTTTGTTTATTCTTAAAAGGCATCTACGAGTGAGGACACCAATACTGCTTGTTGCATAAAAACCACACCCATCTAGTTTTTTTATGACGTAGTATTTATCCATTCCAATAAAGAAACAGGCAATATCAAGGAATATCTTTTTTTCATAATCATCCAATGCATCGAAGCTAATTTTAAGCTTCTCTTGAATTTTAGCATGAGGGTTTTTTCTCAATTTCTCCAATATATTTTCCCATTCAGCTATGCTTTTGAACTCTCTTAGACATGAACCCAAAACTTCAAGGGCTAAGGGCAATCCATTGCAGTAACCTACTACATATTTTGAGAGCTGAACATGACCTTCCAAAGGACCAATTCTCTCGAAGGCATGAAAACTAAAGAGCTTAAGAGATTTATCAGCATTCAATTCCTTAACTATATAATTTCTATTTACCTCAATGCGTTCTAGCAAATGCAGGTGCCTCGTTATGATGATTCTACTTCCGGGACCAAAGCATTCTTTTCTGACACTGTCTGATTGGCAACTGAATGCAATTAGTTGTTCTAGTTGATCCACGTCATCAAGAACTAGAATAGCCCTTCTATTGCACAACCTATCTGTTGACCTTAAGGATTTCATCCAATGACAATCTAGTTGTTTTGATGATAATAAACCATTAATGGTGTTTAAGGACTAATGTTCACATTGAGTGTTATAGATGACTTATATTCAAAGAAGAACCTCAATGAAGATCATAAAGACCATTCCAAATATTCCATTATTCAAGATCACATCAAGGAAAGAAATGGATACAAAGAAGAGTTGAAGTTACAAAGAAATATAGCTTGGACTACAATGAGCAAGAAAACAACTCAAAGGAAGGAAGAAAGCGAGACTACCTCAAAGCCTAAAGATCATGGACAAAGCTTGAAGAAAATGGTAGATAGGATGGTGAGTGTTTAGGATTCAATGTCAAAGTGTCTATGAATCCATTTGAAGCTCATCTCTATAGGACCATGCATGTCATTACATCATTTATAAGTTCCTATGTCCATTAGCAATAGACTATGCACTTCATTCATAAATAATTGTCATATGGAGTCTTTGCTAAAGAGTGAGTTAGTTCAAGCTTGCATAAGCTTTGAAAGAACTCAACACTTGAGTTAAAATGCTAGGACCATGCACATCAATTACATCATTCATTTTGGTCTATAGAAAGTAGAGTCTAAGGCTTAGAACATATATGCTCATCTATAAAGCCTTCATTTCAATGACTTGGTAACGGACTTTAGGACCCAACATCTGCCAGATGAAAAACTACTTTTTTTGCTAAGTATGAAAAATGGCTAAGTGTGAAAAATGAATTTTTGAAATAATGATTATTTCAAAATAATTTTTCCCGGTAATAACTCTTTATACTTCAAATAGCCTAAACTGATTTTATGGGATTTTTTCATCAATTCTACATTGGTCTACACAAGGATTCATTTTTACGAAAACTGTCAGAAATCCAAATTTGTACTAAAACTAAATTTCTACATTTTGATTTAGTTAGATTTCAATTTTTTAGTATTTTTTATTGAATCCAAATGGGGGGTACTTCCTTATTTACATTGTAAACTTAAAGTAAATGGACATATAAATTAAAGTAAAGACATTTACTTAGATGTTTTCAATGGAAATAAGCTGTGTGAAGATGTCCTGTACTAAAAGTCCTACGCATAAACCTGTCAAAACTGTCAATGCACTAGAAAATGTCGACTAGTTTGATGCACATGTCAACCGGTATCTAGGCAGTGGCAAAAATCCAACCTGGAGCTCACACATGTCGATCGGTTTAACACACATGTCGACCAGTATCTAGGCAGTAGCAAATGTCCAAATGGAGCTCAGTAGATGTCGACTGGTTTGAAGAGATGTTGACTGGTTTGCAATACACATCAACCGGTTCAAGCCAAGATGTCAACCGGTTTAGCCACATGTTGACCGGTTTGGTCGCAGATCTGCAGATTTCAAACTACAACGGTTATTTTCTTCTCGACCCTCGTGCATTCCACTCCCAACAGTTATATTGAGCTTGGAAACTCTATAAATAGAGTGAGGAATGTCTTAATAACTAAGAGACATCATTTGAAAGACTTCACATTGCATTAAAGAGAGCTTTTGTTCTCAAATCTTCTCTTTATCTCTCTTATTCACTCTTATTCTATCTTGAGAGATTCTAGCAAAGATAAAAAGGGCTTTTGCTTTAATTCGAATCTTCATAGAGCTTTTGTTCTATTCTACACTTGAGAGATCTTATTGAGTTCATTAGAGCTTTTGTTCTTCACTTATATCATCTTCTCTCATTCATTCATTTATAGAGTTTGAGCTTCACTTATATTCATATATACTCTAGTTGAGAGCTAAAAGTTTGTACATCAATCTTTGAGAGATATTTCTTGTGAGCTTGCACTTGTATATCTATCTTGAGAGAGATTCAATCTTGTACTTCAATTACAATCTTTTCTACAAACTTGTAAGGGTTGGTATGACCCAAAAGAAGCCTAGGAGAAGGGTGTTCTCTTAGCAAGGAAAAGAAGCAAGGTCTTGCTTCATGTAAAGGTTTGCTCTCCACCCGTAAGGAGAAGCTATATTGGATTGGGAAGTCTCAAGAGGGATCTTGAGCCGAGGAGTAGGAGTTTCCGAACCTCGCAAAAATCGCCGTGTTATAGTTTACAATTTCTCTTCCCTTATCTCTTTTACAATTGTGCTATAAATTGTTTACTTTCATATCTTGATTTCACATGATGATTATTGCACAATAGGTTATATTGTTGATTAGAAATTGTATTTCTATAATTTGCAAAAATTGGCCATTGACTCTATTCACCCCCCCTCTAGAGTTAATTCTTGGGCTAATACTATCTTTTATCACGTTGATTCCTTGATCAACATTGCGCACTTTTCTGGCTTTTATCTGTAGTATTTTGGAAAGAAACTGCTCTTGCAAATGAATAATTTTCCATTCTGCATTGAATTCTCTCTGACATTTGCCAGAAAACTTTTGCTTTCAAAACTATAGAAGAAATGGTTGAAAATAACTTTTGCAAGGGTTGTCTTCCCTATTCCACCCATCCCATATATACCCACTATGAGGACATCAGGAGTTTCAACACTCAATGGAGAATTTATGTAATCCATACGAGTATCGATTCCAACTAGGTGGTTGGCTACAGGTAAGTAGGTGTGATTCAATACACTCAAAATTTGTTCAACAATTTTCTTGATGCACTCTCCTTCATGCCTGTTTATGATGTTTCAAGAAAGATAAATGTGTGCGTGTGTGTGTATATATATATATATCAGGCAAAAATCAATAAATATGAAAAATAAGAAAAAAAATGAATAAACTTTCAGGAAGTTTCTGACTAAAAAGAATATAGAATGCCAAGTGGACTAACATATCAACTGATTGTTATATCATTTATGGAGCAGTAATATACTAATATGCCATGTTTAGCTCTAGTTTACAGAGAGAGGGTAATTAAATTTATAGAAGCATAAACCAGAGATGATGCAAAGGAAATCAAAATATAAGCATATAAGAATATGGTATATAGATATATAAATATGAGACAAAATAAATAAAAATGAGTGAAAACATGAAACTAGGAATATGGAATTTAACAAACTTGAATAAATTTTCAGGAAGTTATGTTCTAGCCACTGGAATTGACATATACTGGAGATGATGCCAATGAAATCAAAATATAAGCATAAGCATTTATTAATTAAGATTACCCATCAGTGGCATCTAAATCCCACCCAGATAATTCCCCTGCATCAGCCAAAGCTTCTCTCCAACTTGACACCTTGTTTTTGTCCACCTTTTTATGTTTGACAAATGCGTTCGTTTCCTCACATCTGAAAATTTATTAAAAAATAAAAATAAAAATAAAAGAACCACATGCAAGTACCAAAATTCAAGAAGAGATTATTAAGCCATGATAATAATGATTGCAAAATGATAATTTATTTTGGCTTATATTGAAGGCACAACAGAAACATTTAAAAATTTTAGGAGCGTAACCGCGTTATTTTTCATCAAATCAAGAAGTACTATTAAGGGGTCTCATACCTTTAGACGATTGAATAATCGTCGAATATGAGAACACAATTCTTTAGTTTTGAACTCCGATGAACACTTTCTTCTTTGGCCTTGAATACCAATGAGTCTTCACCTCTATGACCCCAATATAGGTTTATGGAACCCTAACCTTCTCTCTCACTCTCTGTATATTATATCGTGTAACAGAATGATTTTGTATGATAGCGTTACCGAATATATGACTTGAGAGAGTCAGTTAAAAGTCTGGGGCTAGAGATGAGGATCCAAGAGGGCTTCCTTATCCTGGCTCCAATTGGACATAACTCTATCCTATCCAATTAATTATAATAAGCACCACAATAGTATTGTAATTGTACTCTAGGATTTAAAAATGACAACAAGGCTCTGTCTACTAAATAATTACATATAAGCCCCTCCACTACCGAATATCCATAAGTAGCCCTAGGAAAATATATACTGTCCCACTTAAGGCTTACTTATATTTTATATTCCTTGAGTAATCAATTTAATCCTTATGATCAATGAATTTCTTTTATAAAAGAATTTTTCAAAATAAATAATTTTCTTAATAAATAATAAAAAAATAATTTAGTAAGCATTTTACTAAAATGCCCTGGCCAGGTTCCGTGATCAAACTTATTAAATTACACCAAGGGGATATTCTAAATCTTATAGAGTATGGATTCCATGTTAAGCATTTGTGTTCCTAGAGCTCCAACATTAGCCACCCAAGATACCATGGTATTGACTTTAAAAGATCTCACATGTTGGTAAGTCAAAGTGACCAATATTGAAACTTGAGTCCACTAAACCTCTCAGGATTTAGAGCTTAATGTATTTAGTAAATAAGAATCACACCAAAATAATAACAGTAATTTGTATGGTGTGATTTTACGGTGATCCTGTTCAGTATACTCCAAGCACACTAACACACTGTCTTAGAATCAACTACCCCAATGTCAAGACAATCCATCCTATCTTATAGAGGTCAAGTGTGTTACAGTCTTACAGACAAAAGTGCCCAAGTTTTATCACTGACTGCGAACAATGCCAAGGTGCAAAAAACCGGTGAGCCCAAATCTCCTGCGTGTAAATCTCATTTACACACTTAAGTCACCTATAATGCAACTTGAGGACTATAATGCATTTCATACAAATATATGTAAAGCCCAATGCATGAATATCATATTTATTAATAAAATATTGAATAAATAATAAATAATTGGATTGTAGGGCATATTATCCTAACAATCTCTCACTTGCACTCAAAACCAATTACCATTACATCTAACACCCATCCCTTCAACATGAGACTCAAAAACCCTAGTAGGTAGAGTCTTAGTGAATGGATCTGCAAGGTTGTTTGCAGATGCAATCTTAGTGACAACAATATCCCCATGTTGAACTATCTCTTTAAAACACTACCACACTTCCATCACTCTTCTTGTATATACAAGGCTTATTCATATTCTAATCATGTTTAAATGATTTGACCACGATCAAAACGAATGTTCTGAGTCATAATCAT